GAAAGTGCAATAACTGGGGGGAAAAAAAAAATTCTAACTGAAAGGAACTCTTAAAATTAGAGTGTAGGAGAACTTACACGTGGTGCTTGAACAGGAGTTGACTGCCCTGCATTGAAAAGCACTGAAACTGGGCTTGTAGCCAGATTTCCTTCTATATACATTACTTTCCTGCAGAAGATCTTTGCTGCTGAACTAGGTCAGCTATCCAGTGCTCCAGGTGAAGGATACACCTGGTAGATTGAAGCTCATTTGTGAACAAACCACAGTACCTTGTGCACTGGCTATGTCTATCAGGCATCTGACCTGGCAGGAATATCACATTAGCAATGTATGTCTAAAGGCAGGAAAGCTTTGTTGCTTTCCTAAGACACTCAATGTCCTCTACTGCAAGAAGAAATGGGATTTATATGCTGGCAAATGCACACTGAATTCAGCATGTGTATGAGAAAATAACTCAGCTTCCAGGTGCTCCTGGGAACTTTCATGGCCTACAAGAAAGCTGGGACATTTTACAAGGGCAGGAGGAAGAGGGTAGATTTAGATTAGACATTAGGAAGAAATTCTTGACTGTGAGGTTGGTCAGACACTGGAACAGGTTGCCCAGGGAAGCTGCGGATGCCCCCTCCCTGGAAGCCTTCAAGGTCGGGTTGGATGAGGCTTTGAGCAACCTGGTCTAGAGGAAGGTGTCCCTGCTCGTGGCAGGGGGCTTGAACTAGATGATCATTAAGGTCCCTTCCAACCCACACCATTATATGATTATTCTATTGACCATCAAGCTGCCCAGCCTTCTATATATTCTTCCAAATGATCCAGCTATCATATGCACAATGACATTGAAGTGGGATGGAAAATTCTGTCTGATTGACAGACGTTAAGTACAAGTAATGAATGGCTTCCTATTTCTATTGCTGCCTCCACTCCTGGCTCAAGTATGATTTCTCAGAGATCCTATAAATGAATACGTTCAAATTTCTCCTGAAACTGTTGGTGGGAGGCAGCACCTCTTGCTCTTTCCCCCATTCAGGATGCACTTTAAAGGTTTGAAAAGAAGCCACAGAAACCACCCTCAAATACTTTTGAAATCACATTGTAAAAACAGAAAACATTTGCATAAACAGAAGTGATCATGTAATATTATAAAATATTATCCACCTTCAACAGTGTACCACTTTTTTACTATACACACACATACACAGATATAAAGACTTTCCAGTCATTTTGCTGACCTAGTATCTTCATGGTTACGCAGTGTATGAATATATGTCTTGGCATATAATAACCTACGATCTTTTTAGTGGAAACCAGAGACCACAATTTCCATCCCCAACTACTAAATTCAGCAAAATGGCATACTGTGAAAATAAATTGTTTGAAAAAAATGCTTGTGGTCTTAGGTCATCTCCACTGTATTAACCACTGTCATAAGTGTAACACAAGTATTTAAAGCAAGGAGAAGTCTCATATTCATCAACAGACTATAATTTTAAACTTGATACTCTAAGTGTATCATTATCTTACTGGTGTCCCACGATCTCCTGGCTTCCCCGGTTTTCCACTCGGGCCGGCAACTCCTGGAACTCCTGGGGCACCCTACAGCAGAAGACATGCAAAGTGAATTGTGGAAATCCAAAATAGCCTAAGCACTAATAAGAAATGTGTTACTGTATTGAGCACAAAGCAATACTGAAAATGGCTCCTATCAGGTTTTTTTTCTGTCAGGTACATATCAAGCTTAAAAACTTTCCTTCAGAAAAAATAGCTTGTTTCTTCATGGAAATGTGTCCTTTTACATAATACCAGAGTTTAACAGGCATTTTTGAGTCTAAAGATGCAGAGAGTATCTATGTGGTTTTGGTATCGCTCTTAATGACAAATTTCTAAAGGAATATAAGACAGTTTGGCCTTCTAACTTCATCTAGTAGGTCTTCAATCCATGTAAAAGTCCGTAACAAGTAGTCCATAAAGTCATTCTAGTGATACTAGATAAATATGAAAAAATAAAAGACCAGTGTTAGCTTATGTGATAAAAGCTCATCTGCACACCCACAAAGGAGCAGCAGAAAAACAATCATGGGGGAGCAGGGGCAGGCCAGATAATACCCTGCCCTAGTGACTCTTGACTACATGAATATATGTGGTGTAAATGCATGCTCTGTGTACATGTGCCTACTGGGAACACAACTTCCACCTCACTACTGCTTGAACCTGGTACTATGAAGCTGCAGCAACTTGCCTGTCTCGGGGCTGGCTGATCCAGCACAATATGTTTTACTATAACATCCAGCACCTTTTCTAGCATGGTCCCAAAAACCACAATGAAGTAGCTTTTTAAGCAAAACCTAATCCTCACATACTCTTCTCAAAAAAACCTTGTATTAACAGCATTTTTTTTACCAGAATACAAGTAATAAGCTGATTGGTTTCAGCAGACCCAGCTCTGTTTTTAAAGATCATGGCTAAAGAACTAGGTAAACTGGTTCTTCCCTTATTTACACTGGCAGAAATCAGTTTCAAAACCACTCTTACGAATGTTTGTGAATACATGCTTTACACAGCTGTCTGTTCACCTTTTACTGAGAGTTTCCCACATCCATTTAGGATATTAAACACAGGATCCATTTCATATTTGACAGAAACTGAAAATGTCAATGTGGTTCTCTCTTGGCTCACATTTCTTATTTCAGAGTATATCAAAGACAAACTTATATTTACCGCTGGTCCTGGTGGGCCTCTGGGACCTGTGGGACCATCTTTTCCTGTGAAACCCTATTCAAAAACAAAAGCATGATAAAAGATTGATTTAAGATTATAGCCTGATTAAAATGGTCTTTAAGATTATGTAATTGCAATACTCCTGATTACTACTAGCATGTATTTTAAAACCTATCCACAATGTAAGTTACCAAAATAGCTATCATGACTAATGCTGGAGAAGGCTATGAAGCAATGAGCTTCAGCCAGTTTAGGGGATGTTCAGCTGTTGTTTATTAACTGAAGACGGAATGAGTCTCTCTCAATATTTTTAAGAAAAGCAATCATTGTTCTGTCCCAGAGGAGCAAGATCTCCCTTTTTTCCCAGTTTTCATTTCCATCTACCAACTCCCACTAAAAGATAACTATAAATGCATATATCAGCTTTTTTTTATACTCTAAAGGTAAGTCATTGCTTCAGTCATCTCAAAGGTGATATGCCACTGTGAAGACAAAAGAGATTTGCTTAGTTGACCCCAAATTAGAAGTAAGGGATTGCAACAACTTCACAATGAAATACCTGTGTGCATTCCCTTCATTATGAAGATATTTCAGAATCTCCCATCCAAAGAAAAGTTCTTAGCTCCAGATAGTCAAAGGTTAAGAAACAAACTTGACCTTCATAGTAAGAATGGCACAGACAAATTCTTTATGGGTATGCCATCTTCCAGACATTGAGACAAGCAGAGTTTCAAAGGGATCTCTTGCAGCAACAGCATGTGGAAGGCAGCAGGGCCAAGTACCTCAGCAGAGCCCTGCTCAGTGGACATACTGCTCTATGGGTGCAGGCATCTGAGAACCTAGTCAGGGGAGTGAGCATTGCAATTTTTACAGAATCTTTCCGGCTCCTCTATGGCTACCTGAGGAGTTTTTAACCCCTATGTTTTTTCAGTCCTTCCACTTTTACCTCTCCAGGTTTGATATTGACAAAAGGACGCCTTTTGAAAAAGCATTTAGAAATAGAAAGATATGATAAAGAAGGAAAAAGAAAAAAAAAAAACACATTACTTGTTTTTTTCAGAAGATAAACTGAGGAAATCTTACCCTTTCTCCTGGAGGTCCTACTGGACCAGGTGGACCAGGTAAACCTGGGGTTCCCTAGAGGGAAAAGGAACGATTAACTATATCCATGACAGAACAAACATCACTGCTATGCTAATCATCCCAGTATATATATGTACACATTTAAATATTTAACGGTCTTCAATGTTGCTTTTTGGTATTTACAGAATAAAACAAACTCTTAGGAGAAACCATTTATTTCATATATATGATACAAGAGTCTTCACTCTCACTCTATTTTTTAATTCCATTTCCTTACCAGCCCACAGTTCAATTTCAAAAATAATTTTCAGTATTGTTCCCATAAAACAGGTATATCTGGTTTACTGCCTTTAAAAGCATGACTTATAGATGTCAGCTAATCCTTTAACACCTGGTTTTAAAGCCTAGCTGCAGTCATCGATCAGAGTATATCTAAAGAAATAAAAATTAGACTCTT